TGTAACACTGAAGAGACAAAGACCTGTCTGTCAGGAGACAGCACCGAAGAAGCCCTTTACCAGAGCCCAGGCATGCCTTAAAGGTGTCCTGAAGCCTCTTACCGACATACTCAGCGGGCACACTCCCCATTGTGTCCGAGGAGTACATGGCAGGAACAAGAAGAAGACAGAAAGAAAAGAGAAGGACCTGGAAAACAAGGAGAGAGGAGATGAAGGAAGGGCTCTGGCCACACACCCTGTCTCTGCCAGGAAAAGGATCTCCTGCCCCACCCTCTCACCAGAACACAAGTGCTGCCGCTGCTGGTTTTATTGGCTATCTCAATAACCAAGGCCTGAAGTCTCCTCAGTTGCTCTAGAAGGGACCTAAGGGAAGAGAGGAAACAGTGGTGAGCATGCCCTGGCCTAGCACCGAGTCACAACAAAACCCTCCGGTTTAGCCGTCCTCTCCACTGGTGCAGTGGATCCAATCTCTTAACTGCCTTGCCTTTTTTTCCCAAATGACTCCCAAATGTCCTCTTTGTGGACAAATGCCTGTAGTTCCTTACTGAAACAAAAAAATAAAAACTTCTCTGCCTTGACCTAAACTCCTTTGCAAATACCTTCCAAAATTCTCTTAACACCTGGTCAGCTATGCATGGAATCCTCACCAGGGACTGTGTTCTCTACTTTCTAGGTCAACACCCCAGTACTAGAGTTCCAGCCAAACACAAATATATTGTCTTCTCTCCGCCTAGAATGTTTTCCCACCCAGTCCCATCCCCATAATTGCAACTGCGCTGATGTTGACCACCTCCAGTCTTCTCCTATCTCCCCTTTCTCTGTCTTGGTACTTAATTTCCCCTTAACTACCTGTGAATTTATTTACCATTACTCTGAGCTTGAGACCTGATGATAAAGGCCAACCACCAGATGTTTGCATCTGGGAGCTATCCAGTTAGAAGTCAAATGTGGAATAGTGGAAAGAGTGAGGAAGCATTAAGAAATTAATGACGGGGCTGGAAAGATGGATCAGTGGTTAAGGCACTGACTGCTCTTCCAGAGGACCCAGGTTCAATTCCCAGCACCCACATGGCAGCTCACAACTGTAACTCCGGTTCTAGAGGACCTGACACCCTCATACAGACATATATGCGGGCAAAACACCAATGCACATAAAGTAAAAAGTCATTAGAAAAAGGAGTTTAAAAGATTAATGACTGTGAGTGGTTGCTTACAGATTCTGTTCCTCTAGAAGCTGTACTTTGTTCTGCAGCTCCTGATTCTGGGCTGTGTATTTCAAGACCCTGGAAGATAACATGGACATCAAAATATTGCCTGTGTCTTCCCTTCAAAAACGTACGGCTTCCAGCGTTTTCCCCACGTTCTTTCTTTCCTACCTGCTCTCCAAGCCTCCTACATACACCTTCTTCTTCTTGCGGCTTTCCTGAGCGGCTCTCTTGTTTCGAATCTTTCTCCGCACTCGTTTGAGAACCTGTTCCTCCATCTAAGAGAAGACGGGAAAAAGGTCACCCTAGGTGTGTTATTATAGACCTATATCGTATTATACAGGTGTGCTGGACAGCAGCTGAGGTCAACCCTCTTCCCAGTGAAAGACTCCCACGGCTTCTATGACCAGTAGGCATTCACCTTCTGTGTGAATGTCTCCAAGGACCAGGTGTTTAACGCACAAAAGCCAGACTATTTTTTGATATTTTTATGTGTATGGGTGTTTTGCCTGTGTGTATGTCTGTGTATAATGTGTCTGCCTGGTGCGCATATAGGCCAAAAGAGAGTTTCAGATCTCCTGGGACTAGAGTTACAGTTGTAAGTTGTTGTGTGGGTGCCGGGGCTCGAACCTGGAGCCCATGGAAGAGCAGAAAGTACTCTAAACCACTGAGCCATCCTTCCAGCCTTTAATTTAATTAATAAAAAAACAATTCCTCAGCTAGATGTGGTAGCACAGGCTTGTAATCTCAGCACTTGGGAGGGAGAAGGAGCAGATCAGGACTTCAAGACCATCCTTGGCTAGAGTAGTTTGATGCCAGACTGAGCTACATAAGACCATGCCTCAAAACTAACAACAATAACAAAAAAAAAAATCCATCCTTAACCTAAACCAATATCAATCTTCTTATAATTCCTATTCATTGTATTTACCTAGAATCTCCAAGACTATGTAGAATATATCCTTTTTTTAAGGCACTTAAACTTTTTTCAGAAATTAAAACTGAATAAAGTTGTTAACTCTTATAGTCTCTGATATAGCCTGTCAAACCTGGACACTAGCCAAGAGTGATGTCATTCACCTGTAATCTAGTCCCCAGGAGTCAGAAGCAGGAAGATCAGGAGTTCAAAGGCATTTCTTATGCACTACATAGTCTGAGGTCAGCCCGGCCAGGACTTACAAGACCCTGTCTCAACAAACAGGGCTGAAGGATGTAGCTCAGTGGAAGAGCACTTGACAAGCATGCATGAGGTGCCATATTCAAATCTCAGTGGATGGGGGATTAAGGTACGGTCTGGTCAGTGTAAAGGAGGACAAGACAGATATTGTCCTAGGGACAGAACCACTATTGATAATTTCCAAATTCTATTTTCTTTCCTATTAACTAATACAGTGCTCACTCATCTTGTAATGGTGGTGGAGGGATAGGAGACAGAGGTTCATGGAGCCCAGGCTTGCCTGAACTCAACATGAAGCTAAGTCTGGCCTTTAACGCTTGATTCTCCTGCCCTAAATAATTTAACGTCTATATAACAAAAGATACCATGAAAACATTAAAAAGGAAAATGACATAAAAGGGTTTGCCACAAAAGCTAGATGTAGTAGTGTATGCCTGTAATCCCAGCACTTGGGAAGTGGCTTTGATCTTAGGAGGGCCTTCTTGCCTCTGCTTCCAGAGTGCTGGGACTATAGAGGTGTGAGCCATCATGCCCAGCTTTGATAATTGTTTTTGTTAGACTGGTTCAGCCTCCCAAACATTTCTACCATTGAGTACCATGATCACAATGAAATCTATATTGGCCTGTTGTAGAATATTATTTTAAGGTATGCTTTTTTTATGTTGCATTTGTTTAACTCCTGTGAAGCTGTGTTACTGTGCCTGTCTAAAACACCTGATAGTCTAATAAAGAGCTGAACAGCCAATAGCAAGGCAGGAGAAAGGATAGGTGGGGCTGGCAGGCAGAAAGAATATACAGAAGGAGAAATCTGGGAAGAAAGGGTTGAAGGAGCCAGTGAAGGAGGAAGGCATCAGGGTCCAGCTACCCAGCTCAAGCCACGGAGTAAGAATAATATTTACAGAAGTAAGAGAATGGGAAAAGCCCAGAGGCAATAGGTAGACAGGATAAATTAAGGAAAGATGGCAAGTAACAAGCCAAGCTAAGGTCAGGCATTTATAAGTAAGAATAAGCCTCCGTGTGTGATTTATTTGGTAGCTGAGTGGTGGGCCCCCCAAAGAGTAAAAATAACCACCAACAAAGGCCCTTCATTTACAGTCCTTTTCAAGGCTCTATACTGTTAGTTGGCATTTAAAAAATTATTTTTTGTATGTGGGTGTGGGCTTATTTGGAGATCAGAAAACTTGTAGGAGTCAGTTCTCTCCTTCCATCATGTGGGTCCTGGGGATAGATATCAGGTCAGGCCTGGCAGCAAGGGCCTTTTCCTGCTAAGCCATACACTGGTAATTTTGAAAGGAACACCAAAATTTATATAAACCCTACAAGACCAGGAACTGCCCTTGCATCCTGCCCCTTATCTACCCACCTGCCCCAGCTTCCCACTAGCAGCAAGTTTGCTAAGATTCTGACCTCAGTCCTTTTTCAAGTTACTGATATGAAATAAACTTAAGTTGCCTTCTTGAGTCATACAATCCCCCTCCAGCTTTTGCTCCCCGAACAGAGAAACCTTACCTTAGTGAGGGGAAGAGCTGAGGGCAGGGTAAGCCCCTCCTTCTCCAAGAGCCTCTTCTCTTCCTCAGTCAGCATCAGCCTAGAAATCTCCTTAGGGTTGGAGGAAATAGTGGAGAGCAGAGTTGCATGGGGATGTCAGAGCAGAATAGGGGAATCTTGGCCCCAGTCCTGCAAGATGAGATAATCCTGAAAAATCAAGTCCAGTACCTGCTCTGCTGTTGTTTCCTCCACACGAAGTGGAGTCACGCGGTACCCCTCCTTTTCGAAGCTCCCAATATCTGCGAAAGCGAAAGTAGGGCTAGCTAGGCCAGTGAGCTCTTCCCTCCCCCATAACTTAACATCTCACACTCACCTAGATCTATGGAGACATGTTCCTGCGGGAGGGAATAGTTGTGATCATGGCGAATAGAAGAGCTGGAGGAGCTGAGACCATCCAGCGATGCCGAGGGACTGAGCAGAGAGCTCAGTAAGTCCTCTACCTCCCAGTCGCTCAGTTCTTGCACGGAGTTCTATCAAATTCACAGGCCTTGATTTAATCTCTGTACCCTTGGGTCTCACGGACGTCGCTTATCTTCCCCACTCAGAACCCCCACCCACCTCGGAAGGCGACAGCTCCAAGTCCAGCGGAGCCTCCACGTCCTGCTCGGTCGCAGCCCACAAATCTCCGCTTTGCTCTAGCAGGAAGCCCAGCAGGTCCTGATCACCAGGATCCAAAGCTAGCAGGTCCTGACCACCAGGATCCATTTGGGATACCTATGGATAGAAATTCCTGCACGCAGATCCAGTCGCCGAACCTTAGGTACGACCCCTCGGTCTAACTGTCAAATCGGCTTGACTTACCTTAGTCACTCTACTCCAGGATGCAGGGCCGAGGACCCAGCGGTCACTCTAAACAGCCACCTCCCAGTTTCTAGTCTCCTCAGCTTCCAACACAACGGAAGTGATGCACCGAGAGCCTCATGGCATCCTGGGACTTGGAGTTCCCCCCAACTCGGAAGTGGCTCTTGTGCGCCACGTCCCGGGGGCTATGCAAATTTAGGGACGTCCCTACAGCTTCCCACACCCCAGGGCGGGGATTTTGGAGATCCGGGTCCGCCTTCGCCGCGAGCTAGAAAAAAGAAGACTGAGTCTAAAAGGGAACTCCAGCCTAGTTTGGGCGTTCTCTCCAGCGCGCCGCACCCTCGCTTCCTGGCGGGGAGGGGTGGCCAGGCTTCGCGAGTGCCCGAGCATCGAGAGCTGCGGCTAGAGCAGCTTCCTGAAGTCTCCGCGACCATAGAGCGCGGGCCCAGGGCGCCGCCGGCGGGTGGGGGACGTTTCCAGGACGGAAGTGGACCAGAGTGTCGAAGGGAGGGCGAGGCCGGAGCCCCAGAGCAACCCAGAGAACGAGCGGGTAGCGGGCCGGCGGGCGGGGCGCAGAGCCGGGCAGCGCAGGTAGGCCAGGCGGGCCGCGCCGGAGCGTCTAGGTGGGGCTGCGGGGACAGGCCAGCCCGGGAAGCGGCGGGCGGGGCCCCGATCCTCCTGCATATCCTGTGTCCGGTCCTGTTGGGGAGGTCAGCGTCCAATGCGTTTCGTTTCGGGTTTGGAATTAAGCTAGCCGTGTTGCGAGAGGCAGGCCCCTTTCGTGGGAGCGGGCAGTTCTCTTGTCTCTGCTAGGTTTGGGGGAGGGTGAGGAATGGGGTGGCAGTGAGGCGCTGGGCGGGGATGGCCTTTGGTGTTAGCAGATAGTGAGTATGTGGTTAGGAAAGCTTTGGGTGAGTTTGGGATTAGGTCGGGTTTAGGAAGCAAGGTAGAAGTTATGAAGCTGGATTAAATTTTAAACATTAGCTGCATAAGTCAAGTCTGTTTGGTGTAGGTGACATTAAATTGAGGTCATTATTTTGTACTCTGGAATGACCAGCATAAATCAGAGTACAGAATCAGGTTAAGGATCAACAACAGGAATTGGCTTAGAAGCCCGTTTTAGGGATTAAAGGCCATTGTCATGGTTAATATTAAGTGAAAAGGTGAATTAGGAAGCAATTTAGAAATGAGCTTTAGGATTAGGGGTTAAAGTGGAGGGATGTAGGCTTAAAAATAAAAGCTAGATTAGTACGAGTGTCTGCTATGAAAGGGATGAGAGTGTCAAAGTATGGGGAATTAGGAAACTAATTAAAGTCAGGGTTAATGTTAGGAATTGGTGACAGCGTTAGGGGTCAAGGTTGCAGCTACCGTTGAACAGGTAAAAGCGTGAGAGGTTGGCGGCAAGCAGCTGCCTTTGTTTTGTGGTGAGGCCCCTTATTCCTGTGTAACCATAGAGGCTTCTTTTACCCAGAGCTGACAGGCTAACTTCAGGCCACAGTCCTGGGCTTCAGTTAGAACTACTGACGCCTGGGACTCCGCTTTCTTTATTCTGCTACCTAACCCCCAAGACTTCCTGAAGCCACCATCGCTGGAGGCAGGGATTTCTGGACTGTGCTGTTCACTAGGTGGGAGGTGGGAAGTGGAGAGAGACCCAGGAGTTGGACAAGGTCTAGTCCAAAGTGGGGAAGACTAGGAAAGAGGAGGCGGGTGGCTGAGGGGGAAACTGACCAAGGAAACACTGTTTCAACTGAGTTGTGACAGTTTAGCCATACAGCTTCATTCCCCTCTGTCAGTCTCTGGTCCCTGGCCCTACACTGCACACCCCCTATACTTCCTTATAGATCCTTTCCTGGCCTTGAGCTTTTCCTTGTTGTCCATCTTAGCTGTTCATTCCCATCCTCTTTCCCCATCTCTTCATCCACACATCCTGCTTTAGTTCCCATCACTCAAATCTGAGCTTTTCCATCATCATAAAGCACTTTCTCCTACCTGCACACCCCCTGGTCAGCCGCTGACACCCTCCCCCCAGATTTTGCTGTGTGTCCCCCTAGTTCCTGAGTCTCCTTTAACTTCTAGGTCCAGCTGTAGGTCCCCTTCCCCCACTCCCCAACGGAAAAGAGGAAGTGATACCCAAAGAGGAAACTGGGTCTTACTGATCCCACGCCCAGCCAGGCCACTGACCACACTCCCATGTCACTGCCAGCTTGACCCTGCCACTGACCACAGTGCTATCCCCTACCCAACCTGATTCAGCCACTGGCTCTACCCCATGCTGCCCTCCTCCCAACTCCAGCATTGCTTAGACACTGTCAGTGTCCCTTCACTACCCCAGCCCCAGCCTAATTTAGCCACTTACCACATCCCTAGCTCTTCTGAAACGCCTGACCTGGCCTCTGACCTCACTCTGTCATTCCCCAGCTTAGTCACCATCCATGGAATCATTCTCGTCCTTCCCCATCTGGTTCAGTCGCTCAGCACATGTCTCTTTCCTACCATCACCTCCCCCTGTCATCCCCAGTGGCAGTCTGATGTAGTCAGTAGCTCCACCCATCTGCCTCTACCTACACGTCCTATCACATCCCATCCCTCTTCCCCCCAGCTCATCCCACCTTCCCATCCTAATCGAATTCCATCCCTTCCCTAGTTGCATTACTTAATGAAGCTGTCTCGTTAACAAATGGCTACTGGTCATAGGAGGCTGACTTTGGGCTCAGGTTTCTGGGAGTTGAGGCTCATTGGTTCTACTGTCTGTCCTACTTTTCCCCTGAATGGCAGCTTCCTCTCCACACAGCTTTAACTCTGGCTTCATTAGCTCTTTTACTAATAACAGTCTCCTAACCTGGCCCCAAAGTTGCCCTAAAATCCAGTTCTGGGGATGTCCCCGCTCGGAGTTCCGTGACCTCCTGTTCCCCTCCGGGCAGTTCAGTTCCTCCTGCTCTTGGCTCAGCGTTTGCCTTCCCATCCTAACCCTGACTTCCCCACCCCTTGCAGGTACCCTGCGCTTCAGCCAGCTTGCCTACTCACTTTCCTGAATGTTCCTCCACGATTTCCTGCCTCTCCACCTTTGCTAATGCTATTCTCTCTGCCTGGATGCTACCTTTGCCTCATCTTCGACTGACCTAAAGGACAGAGCTTGGGCTTTGGAGTCAGAGAGACCTGGGTTCGAATCTTGGCTTCACAACTTACTATTTGGACAAGTACTTTGGGAAAGTATTTAACATTCTTGAGCCTCGGTTTCCTCATCTGTAAAAATGGAAGTGATGACACCTACCTTGCAGGGTTGTTGTAAGGACTGACTGAAATTATGTATGCAATGCAATTAACATATAGTCAATAAATGGCACATCGCTATTGCTTTTCATTATCTTCATGTTTTTAAAATCCTGACTGCAAATGATATCTTTCATGAATGCTTTTTGGTCCCACTTCCCTAACCTAAAGGGATCCCTTTTCTGAGCATACACATTCTGGCTCTATTTACATCCTGCCCTCTGTTGTAACTCTGTATTTAGCTTATCCACCCACCTGGAAGGCTGGTAACCTACGGAAAGCAAAGTCTAGGTCTTACTCATCTTGGTTCCCAGCCACTGAAAGTTTGGCCCCGGGCCTTCCCGCAACGGGCCCTCCACAGAATGCATAGCGGGGGAAATGTGTGCATATGGGAGGAGAGCTGCTGGGAACCTGGGCATGGGGGCCTGGTGCATGGGTGAAGAAGCTGTGTGGGTGGGTGGGTGGTACCTACAAGAAGATAGATCTTTTGTAGGGCTGTGAGGCTGAGATAAGGTCTGTGTACAGACAGCGTAAGTAGTTTTGTGGGAAAGAGTTGTGTGTGTAGGCTAAGGTCCCTTGCTGGAGAATGAGTATGCATGTATGGATAGGAAGACCCTATGTTGGAGGAAGTCAGGTCCAGCCCATCAGCTGCCCAGTCCAGCCTTAAATGAGCCTCCAGCAGCCTGAGGCCGGATATGTCAGTCTCACCCACAAACCCCTCCCCCTCCCAGCGGTTGAGGACTCAGAGGCCAAATTTGGTAACAGACTGAGTGTTATTCCCCCAACCCTCTTACATTCTGACTCTGTCTTCAGCTCTCTCTCTCCTTTTGTCCCCTTTTGTACCTCCCTATCTTTCTCTATTTGCCTCCTGTAGGTACCTACACTGATGATATTCTCCATGTACCCCCAAATTCCTTAGCCCTAGTATACTTGCATTCCATTCCTTGCTGGGTTTTGACCTCCTGTCCTCCACTCCCCCCTCCAATTGCCCAACGCCTCTGGAATGCATCTCAGGAATGTATTGAGGGAGGAGGAGTCTCTGGGAGGGGGACATGGAGGGGGTGTTGTCGCTGTTCATTAAACATGGTAAAAGGGGGCCAGGGTTCTCAGATCAGGACAGGAAGCAGATAGCTTCTACTCATACTTCCAGGGATCTTGTCTGCCACTAGTCCAAACTCAGTGTCCAGTTCCTTGACTTCCCTTCACTCTCAATTAATTGTGTGGATAACTACTTAGAACGGTCTGGAAGTTAGGGCAGGCATGACTCAACTCTCTTATCAGGGTCTTACCAGAGGAAGGAGTGGGTATCCATATGTCCGGAGGAAATGAGGCGGAGGGGCATGCATGCAGCTTCAGCTTAGGCTGAAGGGTCCTTTCAGTCCTGCTCCGGTTCCTCGGACTCCTGCTTCTCTGGCAGCCAGGTCTGTCCCACTCCTGGGAAAGGTTCCCTGGGAATAAGGAGAGGGCAGAGAGCTGGGACCGAGGGGCTGGGAGGGTCCTCTCATTTGGGTAAAGATGGAGAGCAAGCTATACCACTTTTCTTCTGCAATCCTGGACTGTGTGTGTAGTCAGAAACTTTCTCCTAGTCATTGTTCCAGGTATTTCCTACAGCTGTATCTGGTTTCTATCAAGTCTCCACTCTCCTGCTCCGTCTTTCCCAAACTCTTTATCCTCTACCCTTTCCTAACTTACCTGGTTCTCCAATGCCTTCTGTATCGTGATACCCACCTGTTTCCCGGTCTTTCCCTACTCCTGTTTACCCCCTTGGGCTAGCAGTTTGCCAGGTGGGGAATGGGTGGCTGCCTTCTGTCCCTTCCCTCTTAGTTAAGAGGCACTCAGTCACATACCACATTGGTTCACATCATCAGCTGCTGGGCAGGCCTGTCCTCCTTGGGCCTGTATGCAATCTGCTGCTCATAGTGGCTTCTTTAGCCCACTGACAAGTGGTGGCTGGAAGGTAGAGGAAAGGAGTTGGCTTTGCAAATGCTGGGCTGCACTGGAAGCGTTGTCTGGGTACCTGGGAAAGGTGGGGACAGTCTGAGAAGGATTGATGAAGGAGAGTGTAAGAGAGCTGCGGTAAGGCTGGAGTGTCAGCGTGGTCACTTAGAAGGGTCAACAACTGATTAATGGTCTGGGCACTTGGTCTGGCTTGCCTTGAAACTTTCTCCTCTTCAGGAAGTGTTGGCTGGGTCACTTCTGAGGTCGGTAGACAGAATCATAGTTCTACCTTGACTGCACAACTCATTGGGAGGCCCTGCATAGACCATTCGGGTTGGAAGAGAGCAGGGACAGAAGTAGGTCTCCCCAACAACGCTAGCTACAGACTGTTTGCAGGATTCGGGAGCCCCTGGGATTCTGCATTTTGCCAAGAAGAGGGCAAAAGCTGAGAGGGAAGGTCACATGATGGGTAGCGCTCTGAACATCCCAGGACAGAATGGGAGACAAAGAAAAGGAAAAGCTGACCCAGGAAGAGTTGAAAACAAGCAGAGGCAGCGTTGGGAAGAGAGGAGAGCCTGAGGCCCTGGGAGCCAGAGGCGCAAATCCCAGCGGTGCAGGCAGGACGGTGTCCTCAGGTGACACTGCAATTCAGGGAGCCATTGTACTCAGAGACCAGCCTCTCTGGGATGTCTCAAATGGTCAAGGCTGGGCCATCTGATAGCAGCGTCTTTCACCTTTGAAATTATTCAATAGAACAAACAATGTTATTATTTTCTCTTGTGGAGAGTCCCCTGAAAGTCCTCTCCCTGGGACTGTCTGGGGGACTCCAGTGAGAGTATACTCTAATGCTGTGACGCCACGGGCCAGGTACAGCCAGGCTGAAGAGCAGAAGCGTCACCATGGTTGCCCTTTCGCTGAAGATCAGCATTGGGAATGTGGTGAAGACGATGCAGTTTGAGCCGTCTACCATGGTGTATGATGCCTGCCGCATGATTCGTGAGCGGATCCCGGAGGCCGTGGCTGGCCCTCGTGAGTCTGACTACCCAAGTGGTGGGGGGCAGGAATCTTCCATCCTTTATTCTCGGCTCTTGGCCCCATTGTGTTCTAAGACTCCTCACCTCTCAGGCCTATGCTCCTGTGTTTCTTTTCCTGTTTAAGTCTAAGGTCATGGGAGAAAATAATATACAGAGACAATGGTATAACTGTTTGGCCACAGTGGTGTTTTTATAAGTCTAAGGTGATCTACCATCTCTTTTAGCCAGCGACTTTGGGCTATTTCTGTCAGATGATGACCCCAAAAAAGGTATATGGCTGGAGGCTGGGAAAGCTCTGGACTACTACATGCTCCGAAATGGGGTGAGTGTCTTCATCAGTGACCACTTGCGTCCTCTACCCCCTGTCTCACTAGTTTCCACACTATAATGGTCTCTGCCCCTCCTCTCTCTTCCTCCCTCATTACCAGTTTCTTCCCCAACCCCGGGCTTTGCACGCACCAGGCCAGCATACCCCCAGCGTGCCCATGTGGCTTTCAAATACAGGCAGTCAAACTCCTTTTGGATGAGCCCCATAGTCTTCCTTTCAGTAATCCACTTCCCTTCTCCTTGACTGTGTGAAGGGAACTAGTTTAAACAGGCCCTGACTACAATTCCCGGCTCCTATAGGACACCATGGAGTACAGGAAGAAACAGAGACCCCTGAAGATCCGGATGTTAGATGGAACTGTGAAGACGATCATGGTGGATGACTCCAAGACTGTCACTGACATGCTCATGACCATCTGTGCCCGAATTGGTAAGGGTCGTTGGGAGGGCAAAGGCCTGGGCCAGGAGGTTCCAACTCGGTCAAAAGGCTTTTCTGCTTGAGGAGTTAGCAAGCCATCCCCTTTCCCTAGGCATCACCAACCATGATGAATATTCACTGGTTCGAGAGCTGATGGAAGAGAAAAAGGACGAGGGGACCGGGACCCTAAGAAAAGACAAGACCCTGTTGCGAGATGAGAAGAAGATGGAGAAACTTAAGCAGAAATTGCACACAGATGATGAGTGTAAGCAGAACTAGAAGGGTCTTTGAGAAGGGAGGGGAAGGGAGGGTAGCCATTTATCCTGTGCTTGCCCTGAGTCATGGAACTTACATGTTGATGAGGGAAGCAGGCGTGAAGAAGTGAAAACCCAGGCACTAGGCGGCACGAGGACTGCGGGGTTGGTGCTGAGGGCGCTGTCTGTGTTCCAGTGAACTGGCTGGACCATGGGCGGACCCTGAGGGAACAGGGAGTAGAGGAGCACGAGACACTGTTGCTGCGGAGAAAGTTCTTCTACTCAGACCAGAATGTGGATTCCCGGGACCCTGTACAGCTGAACCTTCTCTATGTGCAGGTATGGAGTAGACCTGCATGGGGTGAGATGTGGGCAGGGCAGACATTAACAGAGCTGTCCCTGCACCCATACAACATTGGTTCCTTCTGTGTTCTCCAGGCACGAGATGACATCCTGAATGGCTCCCACCCCGTCTCCTTTGACAAGGCCTGTGAATTTGCAGGCTTCCAATGCCAGATACAGTTTGGACCTCACAATGAGCAGAAGCACAAAGCTGGTTTCCTTGAGTAAGTGACCCACGTCCCATACCCTGTCATGGTTTGGAACCCCCTGCCATTGTGACCCAGTGGACCGGTCTACATCCCAAGCCTTCCTCCCCTATTTCCTCTTCCAAGGTATGAGGATTTGACATCCACAGGTCATCATGCTTCAGCCACAATCATCCACTGTCTCCTCACTGGCCCCATCAGAGTGTGAATGCTGTTCAGTATCTCTGCCCTGTCCCCTGTAACTTGTTTTTGTTTGTTTTAGATTCTCTGAAGAGTTTGCTATATTAGCCAAAGTAAAATAGGACATTTCCTTGTGGGGAACATTAGATTAAAAGGTTCCCCAAATTTCATTCACTGTTATTTCTCAAGATGCAAAGACCTTAGTAAGGCCTTCTGAGTTTCCTAAGTGCATGGCCATCCTTCTAAGGAGTCTCCTCTCTCCTTGGCTCCCTCTTTCTTAGAAAACAAGGCCGCCCCTGCCCCTCCCCACCCCCCCAAGAAGGCACAGGTCACTCAGGAGCTCATGCTGAGTTCCCACTAACTAGTTCAGAAGCCAGTGCAGACCAGTTTCCTCAGTCTCTCAGAGATGGTACTGTCCTAGACATTTCCTCAAACCTCTAGGCCCACAGTTCATGGCCCCATGTCCCTGATGCTACCCACCACATGCTGACCCCCCCTTTTCTGGTGTAGCCTGAAGGACTTCCTACCCAAGGAGTATGTGAAGCAGAAGGGAGAGCGGAAGATCTTTCAGGTGAATGGGGTAGGGGAAAGTGTCTGGGTGGCCTGGGAGCTTGGCTGCGTGATTCTCCTGGCTGAGTGGCCCCCACCTCCTCTCCGTCTCTGCTCACCTTGCTTCTGCTCTCCAAGCTGTTCCTCCCCCCCCCCCCCATCTTATGCCAAGAAAGCAGAAGATTCGGATTTTAGTCCCAGTTCGTCCCCAGTTTTGCTATGGAATTTCCATTTTGGTTTTGCTTTTTGTTTGAGACAGGGTCTCACTTTGTAGCCCAGGCTGGCCTCAAACGCACAGTAGTCCTCTTATCTCAGCCTCCTGAGTATTGGGATTATGGGTTACCATGCCTGGCGCAATTCAGTATTGTCCTTGTGTTGTCTGTCTGGGATAATGGTGCCTGCATGGTGGAAGCCAGATAGGAGCATCCCTGGGCTATTGCACCTGAATGACTGTGTGATCTTTTTTCCCATTCTGAATACTTAGCCCCAAAGACCTTCTCTTTGTGAACTCTGACTGTCCTGGGTCCTCCTGCTTCTTTTTTTTTTTTTTTTTTTTTTTTTTTTTTGGTTTTTCGAGACAGGGTTTCTCTGTAGCTTTGCGCCTTTCCTGGAACTCACTTGGTAGTCCAGGCTGACCTCGAACTCACAGAGATCCGCCTGGCTCTGCCTCCCGAGTGCTGGGATTAAAGGCGTGCGCCACCACCGCCCGGCATCCTCCTGCTTCTTAACTCCCCAGCCCATCTCTAGAATGTCTGCAAGTTCCTTAGCTTTATTCCGTATGCTGCTCCTGCTCCTTAGCCAGCGCACTGCATCCCCTCGCCTCTTGCATTCCTGAATCTTTCTGTGTGCCCATAATACTCTGTCATTACAGCTAACGTCCTAGCTTGACTCCTCTGTTGCAATACTACTGTCCCCAGATTGCTAACTTTTCCCCGTTTCCTACTTGAAGGCACACAAGAACTGTGGGCAGATGAGTGAAATTGAGGCCAAGGTACGCTATGTGAAGCTGGCCCGTTCCCTCAAGACTTACGGCGTCTCCTTCTTCCTAGTCAAGGTGGGTTCTGGCCCCTTCTTAGGGTCTTCCTTCTTTCTAACTCTTACCCTTTCCTGTCTCTCCAGACTCCTCTGACTCTGTCCTCAGTCTTTCCTACCAGTTCCCAGGAATCTAATTCTTAATTGTGCTTTGACCATGTAAAACCCTGCCTCTTCTCAGTCCTCCATCACCTCCTCCTCCTCCTCCTCCTCCTCCTCCTCCTCCTCCTCCTCCTCTCCCCAGCAGATTCCTCTGTAGTAGAGCTTTGTCCTGGGCCTGCTCATGAGCACAGTAGTTTAGCCCTCCTGGCTCCTCAGCATCCCTTGTGGTCCAGAGCTGATCCGAGCATTTGCCTCCCATTTGACCTCTAACCTATGACACCAACTGCAACCTCTGTCTCACAGGAAAAGATGAAGGGGAAGAATAAACTAGTGCCCAGGCTGCTGGGCATCACTAAGGAGTGTGTGATGCGTGTGGATGAGAAGACGAAGGAGGTGATCCAGGAATGGAGCCTCACCAACATCAAACGCTGGGCTGCCTCTCCCAAGAGCTTTACTTTGGTGGGTGTTGGGATTCCAATGAGGAAGGGCTTTGGGATCATCCAAGAAGAGCTAGTACAAAGGTCTTTCCTCCCTCCTTTAGGACTCCAGAAAAAAAGAACTGTTGTGGGAAGTGGAGGTTAGAACAGATAGAGAAACTCAGGCAGTGGATGATGCATAATTGGAACAGGTGATGGATACACTCCTTAAATTCAGCAGAGGCTCGGAGAGTGTTCTTTACCTTCCTATTGTTGGGCTGAAATGCATTACAAAGGCAGCTTACAGAAGGAAGGTTTTATTTGGGCTTATGGTTCCAGCGGGGTAGGAGCCCACCATCATCGCTAGGAAATGCATAGAAGCAGTCACGGTGCCTGCTGCAGCAGTGAGCTGAGAGACCACATCTTAAACCACAAGCAGGAAGCAGGCCGCAAACCAGCAGTGGCTGAAGTCTTGAATTCTCCAAGCCTGCCCCCAGTGACATACTTTCTTTAGAAAGCCACACCTCCTAAGCCTCTCTAAACGGCGCAGCCAAGTGTTCAAATGCCTGAAACTGTGGGAGAGGGGCATCTCATTCAAACTACTACAGTGGGGCTGTAAGCTCAGTGATAAATGCTTGCCTAGCATTTGTCAAGACAGGAGTTCATGCCCAGTACCACACACACACACACACACACACACACACACACACACAGTTGGGCATGGTTATGTGTATAATCCCAGCACTTAGCACTCTGAGGCAAGGGGATTGCTATGAGTTTGAGGCTAGCCTGGACTAATTAGTGACTAGCAGACCATCCAGGGCTATATAGTATCAAAAAGAGAAGAGTAAAGTTGACAGAACATATACAGCCCAGCCAGCTGAGGATATGTGAATGTGAGGAAATGCTAATAGAAAGGCATGCCTCCCTTCTTTGAGCACCAGCTATTTATGGTAATTCTTTCCCTCTGGCTTTATAATTTTGAGGTTATGAATTGAATACTGATACTAACTTGATAGAGTGCCAGATAATGGGAATAGAAATGATAGATGCTATTTTTCCACTTTGGATCTTTTTGCCAACCTTCAAGTATGGTCATTTAATAAACATGCTGATGTCCTCCCAATTGTGTCCTCTGGGGAAGGGTAAAAGAGAATTTTTAAATGACTTGTATTTGAAACTGTGTAGCAGAAAGACCGCTGCTCAGAAGAAAGTCCCCTCGAGGGAGGGAGGTAAAGAAATCAGTGGTTGAAGAAAAGTGGGCTGGCTTCCTGGAGGGCTGTTTGCATGGGCATTCGCTTCATCAGGTGGACTTGGAGCCTTTCCTCCTCCATTTCCCCCGGGTAGGGTCTTGTCTCTTGCTCAGCCCGCTCCCCCGCCCCCCCACCTTGTCACCGTAGGACTTTGGAGACTATCAGGATGGTTACTACTCAGTACAGACGACTGAAGGAGAGCAGATCGCACAGCTCATTGCCGGCTACATCGATATCATCCTTAAGAAGGTGAGTGCTGCCACCCAGCCTGTGCACTCCTCGGCTCTGCTCCCCAGCTCCCCCCACCCCCCAGCCAGCCCTCTAGAAACAGGCCCAAGGTCTAGGCCTCATACTTAACTGCCTCAACTCTTCTTCCCTCTTCTTCTTACAGAAAAAAAGCAAGGACCACTTTGGGCTGGAAGGAGATGAAGAGTCTACTATGTTGGAGGACTCGGTGTCTCCCAAAAAGTAGGACGGGAGTTGGGCTGATACCATTCCATGAGTAGGGAGAGGAAGGCTTGAGTACAAGGAATCCCTGGGTGCTGGACATCCTTAGAATGGTCCTTTTCTCTTTCTTCTTTTTAAAAAAGATTTTTAATTGTGTGGGTGGGTTCAGGTACTCTCAGGCCAGAGCAGGGTGTTGGGTCCCCTGGAAGAGTGGTTGTGAGCTGTCTGACTTGGGTGCTGGGAACTGAACTCTGGTCCTTGCAAGAGCAGCAAGTGCTCTTAACTGCTAAGCCTTTTGTCCATCCCATAATTCTTTCACTAGGCTCAGGCTAGACCAGGGGTTCTCAACCTGTGGGTCACAGCTCCTTTGGGGTCTCATATCAGATATCCTGCATATCGGATATTTACATTACGATTCATAACAGTAGCAAAATTACAGTTATGACCAGGCAATCGTGGCGCACGCCTTTAATCCCAGCACTCAGGAGGCAGAGGCAGGTGGATCTCTGTGAATTTGAGGCTAGCCTGGGCTACAGTTCAAGTTCCAGGAGAGCCAGGGCTACACAGAGAAACCTTGTCTCAAAAAACAAAACAGAAAATTGCAGTTACAAAGTAGCAATGAAATAACTTTATGGTTGGGGGGTCACCACAGCATGAGAAACTGTGTTACAGGGTCTCAGCCTTAGGAAGGTTGAGAACCACTGATTTAGAACCTAGGGTTGCAGAGGTATTGTAATTGTTCATTCTCTCTCCAGGTCGACAGTCCTTCAGCAGCAGTATAACCGGGTAGGGAAAGTGGAGCATGGCTCTGTGGCTCTGCCAGCCATCATGCGCTCTGGAGCCTCTGGTCCTGAGAATTTCCAAGTGGGTAGCATGCCACCTGCCCAGCAGCAGATTACCAGTGGCCAGATGCACCGAGGACACATGCCGCCTTTGGTAAGAGTGCTCCTACCTCTGCTGTGGTGCCTGGGTCCCTCTCCCAAGTGTCATGCATGAGCAGTGTTTTATACTCCTCTCCCTAGCCTCTGACTTTCTCTTTTCCGTCTTCCAAACGTCCTGTTCCAGTCGCTGTTACTCTCTTCTTGTCTCTAGACGTCAGCCCAGCAGGCGCTCACTGGCACCATTAACTCCAGCATGCAGGCTGTACATGCTGCCCAGGCTGCTCTGGATGACTTCGACACACTGCCTCCTCTCGGCCAGGACGCTGTGAGTATGGGGCAGAGGAGAGGCTATGACTTGAAGCTGAGCTCTAAGGAAGAAGACGGGATGATTAAACCAGAGTAGACCCTAAGGTCTTTCCTTCCTCTCTCAGGCCTCCAAAGCTTGGCGTAAGAACAAGATGGACGAATCAAAGCATGAGATCCATTCCCAGGTAGATGCCATCACGGCTGGTACTGCCTCCGTGGTGAACCTGACAGCAGGTAGGTGGATGTCAGCCTGTGTGTGTGTGACGGGGATGGGGAGCCAGTGTGCACAAGCATTGTATGTGATCTCCGTGTGTGACTGTGCCTTGACTCACAGTGGTGAACCTGACGGCGGGTAGGTGGGTGTCAACCTGTGTGTGTGTGTGTGTGTCTGTGTGTGTGGTATGTGTGTGTATGTGTGTGTGTGTCTGTGTGTGTGTGTGGTGGGGATGGGGAGCCAGTGTGCACTTGCTTGTGACTCTGCCTTGACTCAGTGGAAGGTTGTGTGCGTACATCTCTCTCAGGACACATGCGACTAACTGGCGATGCTCCTTCCCCGGCCCGCCTCAGCTTCTTCCTCCCTTCTGTCTTCAGGAGACCCCGCAGAGACAGACTATACCGCGGTGGGCTGTGCAGTCACCACCATCTCCTCCAACCTGACGGAGATGTCCCGCGGGGTGAAGTTGTTGGCCGCCCTCTTGGAGGACGAAGGCGGCAATGGCCGGCCCCTTCTCCAAGCAGCCAAGGGCCTTGCAGGGGCAGTGTCAGAACTGCTCCGCAGTGCTCAGCCAGCCAGCGCTGAGGTTAGGGGCCACGGGGCTGGGGTGAGGGTGGACACAGGGCTCCACCCCAAAGAGGAAGGGCAGTCCAAGTTGGGGGTTGAAAATGTGACCCAGGAGCCTGTGAGCCCTGTGGGCACACGGCCAGGGACCAAGCGGCTTCTGACGGTGTTCATTCTCCACAGCCCCGTCAGAACCTGCTGCAAGCAGCTGGGAACGTGGGCCAGGCCAGTGGGGAGCTGTTGCAGCAAATTGGGGAAAGTGACACTGACCCCCACTTCCAGGTTGGTGATGTACCCAGCTCCTAGAACCCCAACTACCAGGAGGTAATCTCTGATCCAAAATTCAGATCTCAGTCCCTAGTTCTGTAAATTGGCCCATCCAGACCAGCCTGGTCCTCTGTTTCCAGGGATGAGACTGAGAACTTCTCGTCTCTTGGGGTGAGAATTGAGACCCCCTAAATACAAATATAATCTAGTTCTCTTTGGGCCTCGTTGGTGATGTTCTTAGCCCTGACTTCCTGTGCATAGCCATGGCCCCAGCTCTCAGCTTTCTCAGACACCCCGGCCACACTGAGGATGAGGCTGCCCCTCCCCTACCCTAGGCAAGTTGCCTCAGCTGACTTTTCATCCTGGATTTCCCATGCAGATGTGTGTACCCAGAGGGGCTGGGGCTCGATCTCCCCCCGATTCCCCTACGGTAACGGCCTCTGGCCTGGGCCTTCCCAGCTTGGTCCTCTCTGAGCCGCATACACTCGCTTCCACACCTCTTCCTCAGTCTCCTAGGGGAACAGACTTGATGGGAGATGGGGAGGCCTAGACTGGCAGGGTTGGAGAAGAGAGATCAGATAGAGCAGGACGGGCTCTTGCTCTTTCCACACTGAGATTGAGAGGCATGGAGACATGAAGCGCCCACCCCATTGTACTACCCAGCCCTCCCCCATCACTGTCCGAGTGTATCCGCCTCAAGCATCTCTCCCTTTGGTGTAGACTCTCTTTCTGTTGGTGAGGGTTTGTTCTCGGTGAGGGTCTGTCCTTCTGGGTGCTCAAGGTAGAGGGGCTTGGGATAGGTTCTGAAGGCTTCTGCATATGCTGTCCTCTGATTGGAATCGGTGGGGATAATGAAGCTGCTTAAGCCTGTGAGAGGTATCCGTGGCTCCTAAGCACAGGCTCAGATCTTCTGGCTGCTTTTCCCTCACAGGACGTCCTAATGCAACTAGCAAAGGCAGTGGCAAGTGCTGCAGCTGCCCTGGTCCTCAAGGCCAAGAGCGTGGCCCAGCGCACAGAGGACTCAGGGCTTCAGACCCAAGTCATTGCTGCAGCTACACAGTGTGCCCTGTCTACCTCCCAACTGGTGGCCTGTACGAAGGTGAGCCCAGGTTTGCTGTGTCCTGTGCCTGTGGCTAGTGTGAACACACACTCACACAAACCTCTTTTTATCTCTGACTCTTGAGGCCTCATCAGTCATCCCAGGGACTGCTGTGAAAAACCACAAACACCCCATCTCGTAGCCTCTTTCCCTGGCCTGCATGTCTGAAGCTCCATTTTCCCATAGGTGGTAGCCCCTACGATCAGCTCACCTGTCTGCCAAGAACAGCTGGTCGAGGCTGGACGACTGGTAGCCAAAGCTGTGGAGGGCTGTGTGTCTGCCTCCCAGGCAGCCACAGAAGATGGACAGCTGTTGCGAGGGGTAGGAGCCGCAGCCACAGCTGTCACCCAGGCCCTCAATGAGCTGCTGCAGCACGTGAAGGCCCATGCCACAGGAGCTGGGCCTGCTGGCCGATACGACCAGGCCACTGACACCATCCTCACCGTCACTGAAAACATCTTCAGCTCCATGGGTGATGCTGGTAAGAGTACTCACCCCCAGGAAGACAAAAGCCCCTGTGTGGACATTTCTCTTACAGACCCAGCTCTGCCACCTCTGAGGATCGGCACAGTGGCCTTCCTAACTGTGTAACTATAGGCTCATTCTTGAGTCTGGAGCCTCCACTTCCCCATCGGTAAAGCAGAAGGATAGGCCTTGTTCTGTTTCGTGGAGCATTTACAGAAGATAGCAAATTATCTTAATAGGTGGCCAACTGCATGGTCAAGAGCTAGCCCTGAAAATGAGAAGAGGGGGGATGTAGCCTCCTCCACTTTACCTTTTTACCCCAAATCATTCAGAGAGACTGTCTCTCTTCTCAAAAGACATTTTCTAGTAATACTAGCTGGAAACTGTCCTCCCATGGGAGCTCACTAGGAGGTCTGTTCTCCAAGATCTTAACCCAGAAAACTGGAACTCAGAGGAAATCACTCGAGAACTTTGCCAGTCTCATCTCTGTCCCTGAAAGCCCTTGTCTACGCTGTCTGGCCCACTCACCCTCCTCCCTCACCCTCTTTCAGTGTCTCTAGCTTTCTTACTTGATGATGCCCTGTGTTCTAGGGGAGATGGTACGACAGGCCCGCATCCTGGCCCAAGCCACCTCGGACCTGGTCAATGCCATCAAGGCCGATGCTGAGGGGGAGAGTGATCTGGAGAACTCTCGGAAGCTCCTGAGTGCTGCCAAGATCCTTGCTGATGCCACTGCCAAGATGGTGGAGGCTGCCAAGGTACAAAGTAGTTTTCTGTAGACCCGGAACTGGGCCCTTCCGAAGGGAAGGAGAGAGGTCCAGGTGGGGACCTTGTCTGATGGGAAGACCCAAGAAAAGCAGGAAGTAGAACAGATAAGGAAACCCCCAGGAAACTCCCAGTTCCCAGCCTGCAGTGGGCCACCAGCCAGGCTTCCAGAGACTGTGACTCCAGTGACTCTGGCTGGAAGCGTCCGCATCCTTTTCTTCTTTCCCGTTGAAAGTCTGCAGCTCCCACTTTCCTTCTGATGCCACCACGTCCCCTGAGCTTTGCAGCTGCTACAAATTGCTGTGACCCTTTCTCCAGAGAGCCTTCCTCTTCCCAGGCCACCCTACACTAATGTAGAATTCTGAGTATTCTGTAAAGAACAGCAAGAAAAAGACTCCTCTCCGCAAGGAGAGGAAGCAGGCACAATTCCACGAAGGGATTCACATCCCAGAGGAAATTAAGTACCTAGGACCCCCCCCCCCCCACACACACACACACACACACACACTTCCCTTCTGAAACAGTTCTCAACTCTGAGCAGTTATTACCCAAGTACAGGTAGTTAACAATTACTTTAGGAAAACAAGTGAGCTTTCAACTGGGTGTAGAGGAGTCAGAAGAGTGTGTTTCTGCTCATAGTGATGATGGATGATGACTATCTCCTCTCAGGGAGCAGCTGCCCACCCTGACAGTGAGGAACAGCAGCAGCGGCTGCGGGAAGCAGCTGAGGGGCTCCGCATGGCCACCAATGCAGCTGCACAGAATGCCATCAAGAAAAAGTTGGTGCAGCGCCTGGAGGTAAGGCTGGGCAGTCGGTGAGCGGCTGGGGGATAAATGCATGGGCAGGGATGGATGGGTAGTCAGTATTTCCTTAAGGTACCATGTGGGCCGGGCAGGCCAGGGCCTGGGAATGCCTGGTCTTCTGATTACTCTGTCCTCCCAGCATGCAGCCAAGCAAGCTGCAGCCTCTGCTACGCAGACCATCGCTGCAGCCCAGCATGCAGCCTCTGCCCCCAAGGCCTCTGCAGGCCCCCAGCCCCTGCTGGTACAGAGCTGCAAGGTAAGTCTCCGAGAGGCATGTGGGAGTAGGGAAGAGGGAGAAGGAGGGCAGTACTTTCCCTAAGTTCAGCATGGTACTCATGGCCCTTTGACCCACAGGCCGTGGCAGAGCAGATTCCATTGCTGGTACAGGGCGTCCGAGGAAGCCAAGCTCAACCTGACAGCCCCAGTGCTCAGCTCGCCCTCATTGCTGCCAGCCAGAGCTTCCTGCAGGCAAGACACTCCCCACTTCTAAGACCAGACTCTCCCTCCTTTCCAAGAACTTAGATCTCCCGCAGTCTGAATATCTGCTAGTAGCTAAGACCAAACCCGAGTGCTTACTACATCGGTACTACCAGTGTCCGTTGGAAGGCTAGAGAGGGGGTGTCGCACCTCATTTGCGTATTCTCCAACAGCCAGGTGGGAAGATGGTGGCGGCTGCCAAAGCCTCAGTGCCAACGATTCAGGACCAGGCTTCGGCAATGCAGCTGAGTCAGTGTGCAAAGAACCTGGGCACTGCTCTGGCAGAACTTCGCACTGCTGCCCAGAAGGTAGGCGCTCACGGGGGGTGAGGCTCTGCATGCGGACGCCTGGGGTGGGCAGCATTTGTCCAGTGTCACCTCTAAGAGGGATGACTAACCCAGGAATGTAGCCATATCCCCTGCTGCTCACTGTCACAGGCTCAGGAGGCATGTGGACCTTTGGAGATGGATTCTGCACTGAGTGTCGTACAGAATCTAGAGAAAGACCTGCAGGAAGTAAAGGCAGCAGCTCGAGATGGCAAGCTTAAACCCTTACCCGGGGAAACAGTGAGTAGTCTTAATAACATGCCCTCACTCAAACCCTGAAAGTCTGCTCAGCTGTGCTCTAGAACCTTCCTTTAATCTGCCAGCTGTCCCCAAGAACCTTCTCAGATGCCCTCTCACTTCCTCCTTCTAAGCCCTCACCCCCTTGTCTGCAGATGGAGAAGTGTGCCCAAGATCTTGGCAACAGCACCAAAGCAGTGAGCTCTGCCATCGCTAAGCTGCTGGGGGAGGTTGCCCAGGGCAATGAGAACTATGCAGGTATGTAGGCCCAAAGCTAGGAATGGAGCATATGATAGGGAAGTGGAGAAGGAGGAGCTTGTTGAGTAAAGAAACTGATGGAGGGGCTGGAGAGGTGGCTCAGCGATTAACAACTGCTCTTCCAGAGGTCCCGAGTTCAATTCCTAGCATGTGTATGGCGGCTCACAACCATCTATAGTAGGATCTGATGCCCTCTTCTGGCATGAAGTCGTACATGTAGATAGAGATACATTAAGTAAATACTCTTAAAAAAAAAAAAAAAAAAAAAAGCTAATGAAGCCAACCCCTCTTCTCTGTGTGTCCCCAGGGATTGCAGCTCGGGATGTGGCAGGTGGACTGCGGTCACTGGCCCAGGCTGCTCGAGGTGTAGCTGCCCTGACCTCAGATCCTTCAGTGCAGGCCATTGTGCTGGACACAGCCAGTGACGTCCTGGACAAGGCCAGCAGCCTCATTGAGGAGGCAAAAAAAGCAGCTGGCCATCCAGGGGACCCAGAGAGCCAGCAGAGACTTGCTCAGGTCAGGTGTTGGGAGGGGCTCCTGTCCACCCCTCCCTTAGATGTCTCCATAAGGCCCACCCTAACAGGACACACTCTTGATGCGTTCTCAGGTCTGCTCATGGCGTGCCTCTCTGAATCCCACCCTCTCTCTTGTCGTACAAGTATGTTAGACGTAGGCACAAAACTTGCAGAGCAGCTGGTTTGGGGATGCTTGGTGACTGTTGTCTGTGACCTTGACCTCAGCTTCTTCCAGTTTTAATGGCAGGGCAGCTGGTTATCGTCCACGTCCCAGTGTGGAAGGAGGGTCTCCCGGATTATTCCATCTCTGGCAACCCTGTTTCTTTCTCACTCCAGGTGGCGAAAGCTGTGACCCAGGCCCTGAACCGCTGTGTCAGCTGCCTGCCTGGCCAAAGAGATGTGGATAATGCCCTCAGAGCAGTTGGAGATGCCAGCAAGCGACTCCTGAGCGACTCGGTAGGAACAGGCTTGGCTAGCAGAGGAGAGCGTTCTGACGTGGGCTTCTCCTTTGACCCTGCCTTCCCAGAGCTGTCCCTTTTTGTTACTCCTAGGTCCTGGGCCCATCTCACTGGCCTGCTTTTCGAAAGCTCTATCTCACCTCTCATTCATCTTTCTGACTTTCCTCTGACCCTGCAGCTTCCTCCCAGCACCGGGACCTTTCAAGAAGCTCAGAGCCGACTGAACGAAGCTGCCGCTGGATTAAATCAGGCAGCCACAGAATTGGTGCAGGCCTCCCGAGGAACCCCTCAGGACCTGGCTCGGGCCTCGGGTCGATTTGGACAGGACTTCAGCACCTTCCTGGAAGCTGGGGTGGAAATGGCAGGGCAGGCACCGGTACGAAGGGGCAGAGAGGGTGCAGTTAAGGGTACGGTAGGAAACACGTGGGTATTCAGAGTCTAGGTCTGCTCCTGGTTCCCTCCTCTCCAGTGTCTAACAAAATGTGTGTTTGGGAAAGAAGATCCTTTTAGAAACAGCTATGACAGGATAATGTATGGCATCAACTTTAACAGAGCCAAGAGGACCGAGCCCAGGTGGTGTCCAACTTGAAGGGCATATCCATGTCTTCAAGCAAACTTCTTCTGGCTGCTAAGGCCCTGTCCACAGATCCTGCTGCTCCCAACCTCAAGAGTCAACTGGCTGCAGCTGCTAGGTAAGCAGGAACTGGAAAGCTCAGCTCTGGGGACCTATGAGAAGGCCAGAGAGGGGACATTCCATGAGACATCCCCAGGTTTGCCAATAGTAAAGCAAAAGAAAATATACACAGTCCCATGCACACAGGACTTAGGAAAGATCACTACTCACTCAGTTCCACACCCCTCCCCCAAATCAGGGCAGTGACTGACAGCATCAACCAGCTCATCACCATGTGCACCCAGCAAGCACCTGGACAGAAGGAGTGTGACAATGCCCTTCGGGAACTAGAGGTGAGCCTTTAGCATGGTAGTTGGAACTAAGGAGCTAGGGTCGAGGGAATGTCTTAAATTTCATGTCTCTCCCCTACACAGACAGTCCGAGAACTCCTGGAGAATCCAGTCCAACCAATCAACGACATGTCTTACTTTGGTTGCTTGGACAGTGTCATGGAGAACTCAAAGGTTAGTGGAACGGGGAGCTCCAGAGAGGCAGGGACAGGAAGGTGGGCTTAATACCGATACCTTGGTGCTCAGGACGAGATCTGACTCTTCTCATCCCCCCCTCTTCCTTAGGTCCTAGGTGAGGCCATGACTGGCATCTCCCAAAACGCCAAGAACGGAAATCTGCCGGAGTTTGGAGATGCCATTGCCACAGCCTCCAAGGCTCTCTGTGGCTTCACCGAGGCAGCTGCACAGGTTATTTCTCTCCGTGGACCCCTAGAGCAGCTCTTGCTTTCCATGCCCATGCTCCCTGTGCAAGGATATAAATCAAGAAGCTAGTGCAAATTCTGGGTGCCCTCCTGTGGGGGAGGGAGATGTCATCAGAAGTTGTTGAACACCAACAGTTCAAGTTGCTGTAACTCTTGGGTCTGCTTACATTGACCAGTTGTGAGGCTTTTTTTTTTTTAATGGTGCTCGAATTGAACTAAGCCTCGTGGCATGTTAGGCAAGCACTTACTACTGAGCTACACTCCCACCTAGGTGAAGCACTTTTATTAGAGTAGTTACAGGGAAAGGAGGTCAGATGTAGTAGTGTTTGCCTTTACTTCTAGCATTAGGCAGAGGCAGGTGGATCTCTGAGTTTGAGGTCAGCCTGGTGTACATAGTGAGTCCCAGGTGATCCTGTCTCAAAAAAATAAAAACCACCCTGAGAATTTCTTTCCAGCTATTTTTATTTATTTATTTTTCTATTATTAGCTTGATACAGTACAAATTCTTATCCTTATAGTGAAATGTTTCACTGAGGCTTGCCCAGTGATTGAGTAAAACTAAAACTTATTATAAACCACAGTCATCCTAGGGTCCCCCCTGCTATGTAGCCTCCCTGGTTCTGAGGGTTGCAGTCTGATTGTTCTTTGCTTTATATCTAGTATCCACTTATGAGTGAGTACATACCATGTTTGTCCTTCTGGGTTTGGGTTACCTCACTCAGGATGATATTTTCTAGTTCCATCCATTTGCCTGCAAATTTCATGCTGTCATTGTTTTTCTCTGCTGAGTAGTACTCCACTGTGTGTATGTACCACATTTTCTTAATCCATTCTTCAGTTGACGGGCATCTAGGTTGTTTCCAGGTTCTGGCTATTACAAATAATGCTGCTATGAACATAGTTGAGCATGTATCTTTGTGGTATGATTGAGCATTCCTTGGGTATATGCCCAAGAGTGGTATGACTGGGTCTTGAGGTAGATCGATTCCCAATTTCCTGAGAAACCGCCATACTGATTTCCACAGTGGTTATACAAGTTTGCATTCCCACCAACAGTGGAGGAGTGTTCCCTTTGCTCCACATCCTCTCCAACATTGACTATCATTAGTGTTTTTGATCATAGTCATTCTGACAGGTATAAGGTGGTATCTCAGTCAGAGTCATTTTGATTTGCATTTCTCTGATGACTAAGGATATTGAGCATTTCTTTAAATGTCTTTGAGCCATTTGTGATTCTTCTTTTGAGAATTCTCTGTTTAGCTCTTTAGCCCATTTTTTTAAAGATTTATTTATTTATTATATATACAGTATTCTGTCTGCACATATCCCTGCATGCCAGAAGAGGCCACCAGATCTCATTACAGATGGTTGTGAGCCACCATGTGGTTGCTGGGAATTGAACTCAGGACCTTTGGAAGAACAAGCAGTGCTCTTAACCTCTGAGCCAGCTCTCCAGCTCCTCTTTAGCCCATTTTTTAATTGGATTGTTAGTATTTTGATGTCTAGCTTCTTGAGTTCTTTATATACTTTGGAGATCAGTCCTCTGTCAGATGTGGGGTTGGTGAAGGTCTTTTCCCATTCTGTTGGCTGTCTTTTTGTCGTATTGACTGTGTCTTTTGCCCTACAAAAGCTTCTCAGTTTCAAGAGGTCCCATTTATTAATTGTTGTGCTCAGTGTCTGTGCTACTGGTGTTATATTTAGGAAGTGATCTCCTGTGCCAAAAGTACTTGAACTCCTGCGTTCAAGAGTACTTCCTACTTTCTCTTCTATCAAGTTCAGTGTAACTGGATTTATGTTGAGGTCTTTGATCCACTTGGACTTGAGTTTTGTGCATGGGGACAGATATGGATCTATTTGTAATCTTTTACATATTGACATCTAGTTATGCCAGCACCATTTGTTGAAGATACTTTCTTTTTTCCATTGTATAGTTTTGGCTTCTTTGTCAAAAATCGGGTGTTCATATGTGCATGAATTAATGTCAGGGTCTTCAGTTCGATTCCATTGGTCTGTATGTCGGTTTTTATGCCAGTACCAAGCTGTTTTTATTACCATAACTCTATGAGTGTTTTGCCTGCATGTATGACTGTGTACCATGTAAGAGCCTGGTACCTTCAGAGATGAGAAGAGGGTGTCAGATATCCTAGAAAAAGTATGGTTGTGAGTCATCATGCTGGGAATTGAACCCAGGTCTTTTTGTTTTGTTTTATTTTGTTTTGTTTCCGAGATAGGGTTTCTCTGTGTAGTTTTGGTTTCTGTCCTGGAACTCGCTCTGTAGACCAGGCTGGCCTTGGACTCACAGAGATCTGCTTGGCTCTGCCTCCTGAGTGCTGGGCTTAAAGGCGTGCGCCACCACCGCCCGGCTAACCCAGGTCTTTTGCAAGAGCAAGTACTCTTAATTACTAAGCTGTCTCTCCAGCCCCAGGCTTGACTTTTAAAAATCTTCCTAGTTTTGTTTCTTATTTTATTTTTGAGAAAACATACAGAAGAAAAAGCAAAACTATGCTGTGTTGATTGAAGTATGAATTAAACGTTATGATGATCTTCCCATTATAAGAATGGTAAACGCCGGGCAGTGGTGGCGCATGCCTTTAAGCCCAACACTCGGGAGGCAGAGGTAGGCAGATCTCTGCGAGTTCAAGGCCAGCCTGGTCTACAGAGCAAGTTCCAGGACAGGCTCCAAAACTACACAGAGAAACCCTGTCTCGAAAAACCAAAAAAAAAAAAAAAAAGAATGGCAAACGTAGCTAGGCATGGTGGTGCACTCGGCAGGCAGAGACAGGTGGATTTCTGTGAGGTGGAAGCCAGCCTGGTCTACAGAGTGAGTTCCCGGATAGCCAGGACTGTTACACAGAGAAATTCTGTCTTGAAAAACAAAACCAAAAAAGTGAGTGTTGTACCCATGTGTTGCCACTTCCCAGGCTCCAAGCTTGCCAGTGCTGCTGATGCTAACTGGCTTACGAGCCTTACAGTTCTAGAGTTGTATCTTCTGTTTCTCTTTTCCTTTTGACCAGTCCTTGGCTGGTCTCAGACTCACTATGTAGACTGGGCTAGCCTCAGACATTCATACACTTCTGCCTCTTTGTGTGCATGTGCCTTTCAAATATTTATACTCCTTCTTAACAGTGCGCTGTGCTTTGTACTTTTCCTTCTGTGATCCAGCACAGACACACATACTTCTGAACTGAAATGAAGTTCAATACAATCCTGTGTGTGTGTGTGTGTGTGTGTGTGTGTGTGTGTGTGTGTGTGTGTGTGTGTTCTGTTCTGAGATGGTACCTCACTCCTCCAGGCTGTCTTCACCCTCAGCACCTTTGTCTCCTGGAGTTGGGGTTACAGACAAGCACTGCCATACTAGCCTATCTACTTCTTTAATCTTCTGAAATGCTGGGATCACTTTAACAACACGAGCAGGGTAGCCATGGTTTGTTAGTACTGCTTCTGTGCACATAGAACTCAGAAAGACACAGCCTGTTCTCTGAATCGCCTTCTCCCCTCCACCATGTTCATTTCTCCTCAGGCAGCGTATCTGGTTGGTGTCTCTGACCCCAATAGCCAGGCTGGACAGCAAGGACTGGTGGAACCCACACAGTTTGCCCGGGCAAACCAGGCAATTCAGATGGCCTGCCAGAGTTTGGGGGAGCCCGGCTGTACCCAGGCCCAGGTAATGTAAGGGTTCAGGTACCATGGGCAAGGCTGAGAAAGGATGGGCACACCCCAAGAGGAAAAGGGGAGAGGAAGGACATGTGGGAGAAGACGGGGGTACACCACCACCTTCCACAGAACGCCTCTGACTGTCTTCTGCCACGTCTCTCCTTGTTCTTCCACATAGTGCTAAGGTCACAACCTCTCTAGACACCTCTGAGCTCATCCCCCAGTTGCCCCATTTTGATTTTTCTCCATTAATGTGTCTGTTGTCCGTCTTTCCCACCCCCATGTCCAGTTCATCTTTAAGCACCTTTTTCTCCTAGGTCTCCACTTTTCCAGAAACTCTCTTTCCTGTCAGACTTCCCAGGGTGTCGTCCTCCATCCTCCACTCTAAAATGGCTCCCCTTAGGTCTGCGTTCTTCCTTCCTGCTCTTGTCACAGCTGTTCCATCTGTGTGTCCTCAGGTGTTATCCGCAGCCACTATTGTGGCCAAACACACTTCTGCGCTGTGTAACAGCTGCCGCCTGGCTTCTGCTCGGACCGCCAATCCTACTGCCAAGCGCCAGTTTGTCCAGTCAGCCAAGGAGGTGGCCAACAGTACAGCCAATCTTGTCAAGACCATCAAGGTTTGCAGTGTTTGAATTTTCAAGTCCCCTGACCCATCCGTCTTCTCTTCCTGAGTCTAGGAATGACTAGGAAGTCACTCTCTGAGGTCTTTTGCTAGATTCCCCTGGCCTTGCCTATCCAGACTTACCAATTCCAGCTCGTCAATCCTCTGCGCCCTTGAGGGTGGCCTGGGTTTCACTTGTGTGCCTACTTACTGAGGCCTGAGGCTCCCTGTTCAATTCCAGGCACTAGATGGGGCCTTCACAGAAGAGAATCGTGCCCAGTGCCGAGCAGCTACAGCCCCTCTGCTGGAAGCTGTGGATAATCTGAGTGCCTTTGCATCCAACCCTGAGTTCTCCAGCATTCCTGCCCAGATCAGCCCTGAGGTGAGGCTCTGTGACAGAGAATTGATGAGCCACTTCATCTTTGTGGACACAAGTCATGAGGCTTGCCTCCCTGCCTCCTCTCTCCTCAGGGCCGAGCTGCCATGGAGCCTATAGTCATCTCTGCTAAGACGATGTTAGAGAGTGCTGGAGGGCTCATCCAGACAGCTCGGGCACTCGCGGTCAATCCCCGGGACCCCCCACGCTGGTCAGTGCTGGCTGGCCACTCTCGGACTGTCTCAGATTCCATCAAGAAACTTATTACCAGCATGAGGTACTGAGGGTTAGGAAGCGTGTGTGGCCGATGGCGGAGCTGGAATGAGATGGCCCACTATCGGTGGACACTATCCAGATTTGGGGGAGTTGAGGAAGATGGCCTTTAAGAGATGGTCTTTATGTGAAACCTGTGGTGTGTCTGCAGAGACAAAGCCCCAGGGCAGCTGGAGTGCGAGACAGCCATTGCAGCTCTGAACAGTTGCTTGCGGGACCTGGACCAGGCTTCTCTTGCTGCCGTGAGCCAACAGCTAGCTCCCCGGGAAGGAATCTCCCAAGAGGTGAGGAGAACGCATCCAAGAACGGAGACGTCAGGCTCAAAGATGGGGGTGGGGAGAAGGATTTCAGGGATATCTTCACAGACACATCCAAGGGCTGGGACCTGCTGGATCTGCTTAAGGTGTTAGATATGGAAGGACGCCTGGGAGCTGGGGTGTAGCTCAGTGGTAGAGTGTGTGCTAACACACAAAGCCCTGGGTTCCATCTCCAGTACCATGCCCATCCACAAACAGTTAGAAGGAAGAATGAGATTCTGTGCACCAGCGGACCCTGTTGCAGTCACATCAGGGCTGATGTCTGCTCTCTCCCCAGGCTCTGCACACGCAGATGCTCACCGCAGTGCAGGAAATTTCCCATCTCATCGAGCCGCTGGCCACCGCTGCCCGGGCCGAAGCCTCCCAGCTGGGACACAAGGTACCTAGGGGATCATGTGAGGAGTCCCAGGGGACAAGTTAAGAGAGTACCTGACCCTCACCCCAACTTTTGCTTCAGGTGTCCCAGATGGCCCAGTACTTTGAACCACTCACCCTGGCTGCGGTGGGCGCTGCTTCTAAGACACTGAGCCACCCGCAGCAGATGGCACTTCTGGACCAGACTAAAACGCTGGCAGAGTCTGCCTTGCAGTTGCTGTACACTGCCAAGGAGGCCGGTGGTAACCCCAAGGTAGGGAGGGGCCCAGGACGGGTAATTGCTAGTCAGAGCCAGACAAGCAGGAGCTACAGGCTGTCTTCGCCCGTTGTCCCCGTAGCAAGCGGCACACACCCAGGAAGCCCTGGAGGAAGCCGTGCAGATGATGACAGAGGCTGTGGAGGACCTAACGACAACCCTCAATGAAGCAGCCAGCGCTGCCGGGGTCGTCGGTGGCATGGTGGACTCCATCACCCAGGCCATCAACCAGGTTAGAGCCTTGGCCACCTGTGGACACAGGCTTCCCTGATCAGGGACTTGGGGTTCAGTAGCAGTGATCTGACAGTCTTTCCCTCTGCCCCGTCCTCTTCCCTCAGCTAGATGAAGGACCTATGGGTGAACCAGAAGGTTCGTTTGTAGATTACCAAACAACCATGGTGAGGACAGCCAAGGCCATTGCTGTCACTGTTCAGGAGATGGTAAGTTTGGGACATAAGAGGACTGCCCTGGAGAGCCGAGCTTGGGCAGAACTTCACTTCTTCCCTTACCACTAGGTGACCAAGTCCAATACCAGCCCTGAAGAACTGGGCCCTCTCGCCAACCAGCTGACCAGTGACTATGGCCGACTGGCCTCACAAGCCAAGCCTGCAGCTGTGGCCGCTGAAAATGAAGAGGTAAACATGGAGGCAGTTCTGCCTTTTCTCAGCAGAGACCAGGTTATGCCCCTTGTTCCTATGGCAGCTTCCAGAGCTGTCCTGAACTCCCTCTCTCTAGATAATGGGCAGCATACCTTCAAGGCCACTCCAGAAAGAGTGAGCAGGGCTGTGTGTAGACGTAAAGGGCCAAAGCCTTCAGTCGCAGGGACAAAGGGCAGCTCAGGACCCTGATGAGCCACTTCATCAGGTTCTGCTTCTCTTGCCTCTGCCAACCCCGTGAGGCCTATGGCATCTTCTCTGCTGGGCCGCGAGTCTCCTCCCTCCTCGGGACTTACTTGTTGCGTACTCAGGAAGCTCACCCTTGCCTGGGCTCTTGGCTTTTCTTTCCAAGAAAGTGAGTAAGTGGATCTTAGCAGGACACACCTAATCCCCAAACCCTCCATAGACCCAAACAGGCTGGCTCCTAATCCACGGCTCTGATTCAAATAACCAGGCATGGAGTCCTTCTCTCCCTCTCCCTCCTGCCTTGGTGCTAACACAATCCTCACACAGTGGCGCCTCCTCACTGTCATTTTCCATGTGTAGGAGGGGACTCCTGCTTGAATAAGAAATCCAGAAAGGCTGTGCTGGGAACCTTTTCTTACAACTCCCAGTCAGTGTACACGTTTCTTTGTAAAGTTTATTTGCTTACTACTAGTGTATGTGTGCGATGTGTGTGAGTGCAGGTGTGCATGTGTCACGGTGTACATGTGGAGCTGCACATGTGACAGCTTTCAAGAATCAGGGCTCTGCTTCCACCTCGAGTTCCAGGAGGCTCACTCAGGTGATCAGGCTCACACACAGGCGTTCCTACCCATCCAGCCATCCCGCTGTTCCAGTTTTTATGCATCCTCAGTGATTCCTCTAGGTGCGGTGGAGGTCCCCTGAGCACCCTTACAAAACCATCAATATTCCTTATCTCACCCACAGATAGGCGCCCATATCAAGCACCGAGTACAGGAGCTGGGCCATGGCTGTTCTGCTCTGGTCACGAAGGCAGGCGCCCTGCAGTGTAGCCCCAGTGATGTCTACACCAAGAAGGAGCTCATAGAGTGTGCCCGGAGAGTATCTGAGAAGGTGAGTACTGATCTCCTGGGGCTGCGTGTGTTCCCCCTCCCCAGCCAAGCGTGGGTGACCTTTCCCTCTGACTGTGCACTTTATAACTCTGCTGCAGGTCTCCCATGTGCTAGCTGCGCTCCAGGCTGGGAACCGTGGAACCCAGGCCTGCATCACAGCAGCCAGTGCTGTGTCTGGGATTATTGCCGACCTGGACACCACCATCATGTTCGCTACTGCTGGCACGCTCAACCGCGAGGGTGCCGAGACGTTCGCAGACCACCGGTGAGCAGGGAACTGGCCAGAGGGAGACAGGTTGGGGCCTGAGCCAGGGGAACACGGGGCTGGAGGCTTGGGGCTCCGAGGCAAGCTGACCAGGCTGGGACTTCCCCAGGGAGGGTATCTTAAAGACGGCAAAGGTTCTTGTGGAGGACACCAAAGTCCTAGTGCAGAATGCAGCTGGGAGCCAGGAGAAGTTAGCACAAGCTGCCCAGTCCTCAGTGGCCACTATTACCCGTCTCGCTGACGTAGTCAAGCTTGGTGCAGCCAGCCTGGGAGCTGAAGACCCAGAAACTCAGGTATTTGCCTAACATCGCTAATCCTGTCCAGAGCCTCACTTCCTGTTGCCCTTCTCCCTCTCACAAGCCAGTGACCTCTCCTACCCAGGTGGTGCTGATCAATGCAGTCAAGGATGTAGCCAAGGCCCTGGGAGACCTCATCAGTGCAACGAAGGCCGCAGCCGGCAAAGTTGGGGATGACCCTGCAGTGTGGCAGCTCAAGAACTCCGCCAAGGTTGGAGGCCGTGAGGAGCAGTAGCAGGAGGGGTGGTTAATGCTCTTCCTCCTGCTTCTTAAGATGATCTCCACCCCCATTCCACTGCTGCCCTCAGGTGATGGTGACCAATGTGACATCATTGCTCAAGACAGTGAAGGCTGTGGAAGATGAGGCCACCAAAGGCACACGGGCCCTCGAGGCAACCACAGAGCACATACGTCAGGAGCTGGCGGTGAGCACAGCCCGGGGCGTTGGGTGATAAGCTGACTGTGGACCTCACCTGCATTCCTCAACATTCTGCTTGCTTATTACCAAACTTCCCACCTGACCTCCTGTGATGAGGTCTCTGCTGAGCTGCGTCCCGGCCAAAAGGCACTGCTTAAATTCCAGACAGCCTCCCGGTCAGAGCCGTGGCCAACGTGGCTCTCTATTAGCTGTGATGCAGGCATATCTGCAAGGACTTGACCTACAGTAGCTATTCAAGAAAAGCTTTCTGAGCTGGGCGGTGGTGCCGCATGCCTTAGAGGCAGGGGCAGGAGGATGATAAGTTCAAGGATAGCTGGGACTACACAGAAAAACCCTGTCTCCATAAAAACAAACAAAAAGAAAAGAAAAGAAAAGAAAAGCTTTCTGAAGGAACACATGGATGTGTGGACTAAATCATGTGACTGTTTGTCTTCCAGTCTTAGACAGTATAAAATCTTCCATCTTTTTTCCCAACAGGTCTTCTGTTCCCCAGAACCACCTGCCAAGACCTCTACCCCCGAAGATTTCATCCGAATGACCAAGGGTATTACTATGGCAACAGCCAAAGCTGTTGCTGCTGGCAATTCCTGCCGACAGGAAGATGTCATTGCCACAGCCAATCTGAGCCGACGTGCTATTGCAGATATGCTTCGGGCTTGCAAGGTAGAAATGCTGGTAGTGAGGTGGGCACACTGCAGGGATTTGGGAGGCCTGAAGCTCTAACGCTAACCTGCTACTCCGGGGACAGGAAGCAGCTTTCCACCCAGAAGTGGCACCTGATGTGCGGCTTCGAGCCCTGCACTATGGCCGGGAATGTGCCAACGGCTACCTGGAGCTGCTGGACCACGTGCTGCTGGTAAGGAGGCATTGCCCCTCATGCCAGCCTTTTGCAAACACAGTTTCCTGAGCACGTCAGACCCAGACCCACCCTACCACCTGTTCCCAAATTCATTCTCATTTCCAAGTCTCCTTTCTCTGGGACCCCATTGTTCTTACGGTCGTTGTTCCTCCCATTCACCCCTTCTTCCTCTTCTTTTGTCTCCTTTTCCCCTCCTGACCTCCCCTTCTCTACCTTACCATCTCCTCTCATTTCATCATTCTTGCTTGTAGCCGGTGAGTGACAGCCCCCTTCACTGTGTGTATGTGGCATGATGCACTGTGTGTACTTGATTGAGTAGGACAGTGTTGGAGGCTGTGCTGTGGAGTGCTCTGCGGATTGGGGTCGGGAGCATGCTCTGCCTTGGTTCACAGGCCGAGGTGGAGCCTAGGGTCTGATGCTCTTTGTCGTGCGCTCTCCCTCCCCCAGACCCTTCAGAAGCCAAACCCAGAACTGAAGCAGCAGTTGACAGGACACTCCAAGCGGGTGGCTGGCTCAGTGACTGAGCTCATCCAGGCTGCTGAGGCCATGAAAGGTAAGGGGAATGAGAGATGGGAGGCAGGAGAAAGTCTTGTCATGGTGTGGTCTCTGCTTGCTGGTTGGATGGCTCTGAGCTGGCCCTGCTTCTAGTCCTCATGGGTGCCAGGGACTGTGATGCTAAACAAACTCCCCAGTGCTTCTACCTCCCTACCCTGCCTCAGCCTCCTCCTTGTGTCTCTTCCCACAGGAACAGAATGGGTGGACCCAGAGGACCCCACTGTTATTGCTGAGAACGAGCTCCTGGGAGCTGCAGCTGCCATTGAGGCTGCAGCCAAAAAGCTAGAGCAGCTGAAGCCCCGAGCCAAACCCAAGGTCAGGGCTGTCCCTTCCCTCCACCCTCACGGGGCAGGAGGGCTCCACCTTCGTCCCCTTTCTTAGAGCCTCCCCACGCCCTGCCCCTCTTTGACCTTCTCTTTGTAGGAGGCAGATGAGTCCTTGAACTTTGAGGAGCAGATCCTGGAAGCTGCCAAGTCCATTGCCGCAGCCACCAGCGCACTAGTAAAGGCCGCATCGGCAGCCCAGAGGGAACTGGTGGCCCAGGGAAAGGTCGGTACTTCAACCACATCCTTAGCCAGAGTGCCTCTGAAGGAAGGACAGCACAGGTCTAAGTGGGCTCGCTTCTTTCTTCTGCAGGTGGGCGCCATCCCAGCCAATGCACTGGATGATGGGCAGTGGTCCCAGGGCCTCATCTCCGCTGTGAGTGTACAACACCCACTGTGTCTTTCTGAACTGGGTAGACTTGAGGCTGGAATGGAGTGGGCCAGAGTGAGAGGTCTACTTTCATCTTAACTCTTTCTCTCCATTAGGCCCGTATGGTGGCTGCGGCCACCAATAATCTGTGTGAGGCAGCCAATGCAGCTGTCCAGGGCCATGCTAGTCAGGAGAAACTCATTTCCTCAGCCAAGCAGGTTGCTGCCTCCACAGCCCAGCTCCTGGTAGCTTGCAAGGTCAAAGCCGACCAAGACTCTGAGGCAATGAAACGACTTCAGGTGAGAAACCCTGACCCATCCGTCCCACTGTCGCTCTGCTGCACTGCTTTAAAGCGCCGGCTGATGATAAAGTACCCCAGCAAAGCAGTTCAGGGGGAAGTTCATCTGGCTCTCAGTTCTGGGTTACCGTCCATCACTGCTGGTAACTCAAGGCAGCAGGAACCTGAAGCAGCTAGTTACATTATATCCACAGTCAAGAGCAGAGAGCAGTGAGTTACTGTGTGCATGCTGGCGTTCAGCTTTTCCCACTCACACATCCAGAGTGCCCAAGGAGTAGTGCCTCCTCCCATCCTAATGAACTAGTCAAGACAGTTCCCCACAGATACACCACAGGCCCACCCAGTCCAGACGAGCCTTCCTGTTCACTCCCTCCTCAGGTGACCCCAGGCTGTGTAAAGTTAACACTTAACACCGTCACACCCGAGATAACTTTCTTTGTGGGAGTCCAGGAACTGTCCGCACTAGAACCTTGAGTTCTCAGGAGTTGCTGTTTGCTCCCTGTGCAGGCTGCAGGCAATGCAGTGAAGAGGGCCTCAGATAACTTGGTGAAGGCGGCCCAGAAGGCTGCAGCCTTTGAGGACCAGGAGAACGAGACGGTGGTGGTGAAGGAGAAAATGGTTGGGGGCATTGCCCAGGTGAGCCACTCCGGGGCCACTCAGGTGGGGACGTGGTCTTGTGGCCTGCACTGTCACCCGGCCTCCGCCCCTGGTGCACATCTGTTGAGCTCTCTTGGCCCTCCCTCCCTCCTCCCTCAGATTATCGCAGCCCAGGAAGAGATGCTTCGGAAGGAGCGAGAGTTGGAAGAGGCACGGAAGAAGCTCGCCCAGATCCGGCAGCAGCAGTACAAGTTTTTGCCTTCAGAGCTTCGAGATGAGCACTAGGGAAGCCGCTTCTATTTAATGCAGACCCAGCCCAGAGACTGTGCCTGCCACTACCAAAGCCTCCTGGGCTGCCGGGGCCCAGCCTGCCCAATCCCAGCACTTCCCCAAAGTGCCTGCCAAACCCGGGCCTGGCCCTGCCCAGTCCCCCCCCCCCCCCCCCCCCCCCCCCCCCCCCCCCGCAAGCCCTGTCCCCCTCCTGACTCCAAGTGCCTTCCTACCCTAGGGCCCCTAAGTGCCTGTTTCTCCCCAGAGTATTAACGCTCCAAGAGTATTATTAACGCTGCTGTACCTCAGTTTGAACCTGCCAGGGCCCCAGCTGCTCCACCCTCCAGCAGCTTCCAGCCAGTCCCCACGGCCGCATCTGCTCAACTCAGCCCTTTTTGATACTATATCCCCTACCCCAGCTACCTATGGAGCTTGAGGGTTGTAAACCCTAAAAAGGTCATGCTCCAATAAAGGTGATTCTACCTACAGCTGCAGCCTGGCTTCGTGAGGAGATGGAAGGTCTTCCCCAGGGGCACTGGGGAAGAGTAGGAGTGAGTTCTGTCCCCTGGCTCGATTGGTTCACGAGGGGAGCAGGAGGAGATTGGAGCTCCTCAGGCCCCTTTCTCCTACCTGCACCCAGCACTCACCCTCCTCCGGAAGCTGTGCCTGCAGAACCTTTCTCTATTCCCATCTCACTGGCCAAGCACTGAGCTTCTGGTGAGCCCCTGCTCAGTTAAGAGTATATAAAGAGACTTGGGTTTAGTCCCTGGCCAAATTCCAGTTTTCAGAAGCAGCCTTACTAAAAAATAAGAGTATAAGGCTGGAGGGATAGTGGTTGAACACTTGCTGCTCTTGCAGAAGATACGGGTTCAGTTCCCAGCACCCACATGGCAGCTCACAGCTGCCTGTAACTCCAGTTCCAGGGGGATTCGATGCCGGCTTCTGACCCTGTTCTCCTTCACATGAACTCACATAGGCACATACACATAAGTAAATGAAGACTGGAATATAAATGCCCTCTTCTGGCCTCCAAGGGACACGCACACAAATCCTTTTTTAAATATTTGTGTGTGGTTCTCAGGTGGCATTGTTGATTGATTTGGGGTATTCCTGTCAAAAACAGGAAGAGGAACTTGATCCACCTTTGAGACTATAGTCTTTTAGAGGGGCAGAGCGCCCCCTAGTGGCCAGCAAGAGTTGGTTACTGTCCAGGTTCCATGAAGGGAGCCAGTCAAGGAGGTACATACATAGGGTCTTCCACTTCCCTCTTCACCCTCCTGCCCACAGCATGACAGCCCTCTTGTGTCAGTGAGTGTTTTTATGTGTGACTTTTGTGGGTCTTTAGCCAATCCTGCTGCCCAGTGTAGTATTTCAGTACTTCACCCTCCAAGTAGAAAACAGCGCTCATTTGCTGCTACTCTGGGTACCTCGCGCCATCGGCTTCCTCCCCATTACAGTAAGTTTAAAGTGGATGGAAATGGTTTGCCCTCTCCAGGCCAGCCCACTGGGGTCGGTGCCAACTTCCTACCGTCACTCCTGTCACCTGTGATTCAGCCATTCAATATTTACTAAGCCATGCCTGTGCTAAGCACTGGAAAATCAAGCTGTATTATCACTTCTCTGACGCACAGACTGGGAACTCCACCACATACTGTGGTAGGCCCTGAACCCCAGATTCAATGTCACAGCACTGTGACTTGAGGGCCTGGGAGATCAAGTCTCTTCCCACAGCCTCCCACACGAATAGTAATCTAGACTGAGCGAGCCATGAGCCCAGGACAGCTGCTTCCTCCTGCTGCACTTCCTTATGGTGTCCTCAGGAACTGCAGCCGATCACGGCCACCTCTGTGGTAATAGCCTGGAAACCTGGGAAGCTGCTGTAGCAGCCTTTGGCTGTTCTTCAGATGGGGTCCCCCCCCTCTGGAGATTCTCCAAGACCCTTTTGGCTATCCAGAGGTCAAAATTAGCTTCACAATGAGGCACTGAAGAAAACCTTTTTCACGGCATCAACATTTCACAGTGTGGAAAAAAAATACTGTGGAGTAAAACTGTCTCAGCACAGATCAAGGCGGAGGCCCCAAATTACACTAATCATTATGTAGTCACTATACATTAGCATATAAGACATAAATGCAACTTCATAAGATTTGGGGGGGGGGGTCAGGCTTTCACTGTGTAGCTTGTAGCTTTGACTGGCCTCAGACTCATAGAGATCCACCTGCCTCTGTCTCCTGAGCGCTGGGATTAAAGGTGTGCACTACCACATCCTGCTTATTTAAGAATGTTCTTGAGTATCCTAGACATGTTGACACTTCCCTGTAATTCCAGTATGAGAGAGGCAGAGGCAGAAGATTCAAGAGTTCAAAAAAAAAAGTCTCAAATAAATTGTAAATGATTAATTGTATTGTCTTTGAGGTTTTTGGTGTGTGCACCTAATGTATATAAATGTGTGTGTGCGCATACGTGTTCACGTGCACTCATATACACAACTGTGCATGTGAGGAGGCCAGAGAAAAACATTGATGTCCTCAAGAGATTGGCTCTGTCACTGAGCCTAGGAGAGTGTAGCTGAAGTTTTCCTGGTCCTGACTGGCCCACGGTCAGGACAAATCTCTCTCACCAGCCAGTCCCGCAGCCCCTCGGACCCAAGCAAACATATAGAGACATTACTTATAAAGTGTATGGCTGTGGCAGGCTTTTTGTTATCTAGTTCTTATATCTTTTTTTTTTTTTTTTTTTTTGAGACAGGGTTTCTATGTGTAGCTTTGCGCCTTTCCTGGATCTCGCTCTGTAGACCAGGCTGGCCTCGAACTCACAAAGATCCACCTGCCTCTGCCTCCCAAGTGCTGGGATTAAAGGCATGCACCACCACCGCCCAGCTCTAGTTCTTATATCTTAAATTAACCCATTTCTATAAATCTGTACCTTGCCACATGGCTCATGGCTTATCGGTATCTTACATCATGTTTCTCATCGTGGTGGCTGGCAGCATCTCTCTGCCTCAGCCTTCCACTTCCCAGAATTCTCCTCTCTTGTCCTGCCTATACTTCCTGCCTGGCTACTGGCCAATCAGCACTTTATTTATCAATGAATCATCCACAGCAGGCGAGGCTGGTGGCTAACAAGCCCTAGCAATCCTGTCTTCGCCTCCCACAATGCTGGGGTTAAAGGTACATAAGGGCCACACCCAGATCTTTAAGTGAGTGCTGGGATATGAATGCTCATGCTGGATCAGTAAGTTCTTACCCACCTAGCCATCATGCCATTCCCCTCTTTAAAAGAAAAGGTCTCAGGACTGGGAAGATACCTCAAGCATGAAGACCTGAATTTGGGATGCCCAGCACCCACATAAAAGCTGGGTGTAGCTGGGCAGTGGTGGCTCATGCCTTTAATTCCAGCACTGAGAGGCAGAGGCAAGTGGATCTCTTTGAGTTTGAAGCCAGCCTGGTCTACAGAGTGAGTTCCAGGACAGCCAGGGCTACACAGAGAAAGCCTGTCTCAAACAAAACAAAACAAAATAAACAACAACAACAACAACAAAAACTGGGTGTGCCCATGCATATCTATAACCTAGTGCTAAGAGTCAGAGAAAGGCAGGTACCAGGGCCTCAGTGGCCAGCCAGTGTAGCCTAAATGGAAGCTCCACGTTCATTAAGAGATCCTGTCTCGGGGCTGGAGAGGTGGCTCAGCAGTTAAGAGCGCTGACTGCTCTTCCAGAGGCCCAAGTTCAATTCCCAGCACCCACATGGCAGCTAACAACTGTCTGTAACTCTAATTCCAGGTGATCCAACACCCTCTCACAGACATTCATGCAGGCAAAACACCAGTGCACTAAATAAATGAATAAATCTTTTTTTTTAAAAAAAAAGAGAGATCCTGTCTCTAAAACAAAATAAGTAATAAAAATAGGTAGAGAGCAATAGAAGAAAATGTCTGACATCAACATCTGGCCTCCTCACCTACATGCACAGACAAGCAAGCACACACACACACACACACACACACACACACACACACACACACACACACACACACACCCAACAGGATCAGGGTATCATGTAGCCCAGGCTGGCCTTGAACTCACCACATAGCCAAGGGTGACCTTGAACTCCTGATCCTCTTATCTCCACCTCTCAAGTGCTGGGATTATAAGTGTGTAGCACCATGCCCAGTTTATTTGGTTTTGGAGATTGAACTCAAGGCCTTGTACATGCTGGTGAAGCACTACCAAGTGAGCTACATCCTCAGCCCTGAATTGTGTGTGTGTGTGTGTGTGTGTGTGTGTGTGTGTGTGTTTTAAAGACGGGTCTCACTATGTAGCTCGGCTGGCCTGCAACTTGCTATGTAGACCAGGGGTGCTGAAGATTTATTTTTATTTTATGTGCATGTGTGTTCACCCATTCATGGTGCACCTGAATGTATGTATGTGCACCGCATGTGTAAAGTACCTGCTTTAGCCTGAAGAGGGTGCTATATCCTCTGGAACTGAAGTTACAGGCCATTGTGGGCTGGGTCCTCTGCAAGAACAGCAAGTGTTTTTAACTGTTGAGCCATCTCTCCAGCCCCTGGATCTTTTTTTTTTTTTTTTAAGATTTATTTATTTATTGTGTATACAGTATTCTGCTTGCCCATATGTCTGCAGGCCAGAAGAGGTCACCAGATCTCATTATAGATGGTTGTGAGTCACCATGTGGTTGTTGAGAATTGAACTCAGGACCTCTGGAAGAGCAGTCAGTGCTCTTAACCTCTGAGCCATCTCTCCAGCCCCCAGCCCCTGGATCTTAATTCTTAAGCAAAAACTTTTCTCTTTTCTTCCCTCTTCTCTCTGTGTGTGTTATTGTTGTTATCTTCGTTTGGGACAGGGTCTCATGTAGACCAGGACGGCCTCAAATTCACTATGTGGCCAAAACTGGCCTTGAACTCATCTTTCCGTCTCTACTTCCAAGGACTAGCATTATGACCATGCTGACTATGCCTGACGAAAGCCTTTTCAGTGACTCCTCCGATGAACTTTGAAGTACACAGGAAGCACTTCAGCACGCACAAGCGTGATGGCTTCCCTGAGGAAAGCAGGCCGTTTGTAAGTGTGAACCATTCGGCATGATTGCGTGTGAGCGTGTGTGTAATACCATGTTTACTTGAGAAGTGACCGAAAAACTCTGGCAGATCTGTTCTCACAAAGGAACAATGAATCAGTCACATCAGAGAAAAATCTGACAGTATTTGTTACCAATTATACAATTAAAAATTTCGGCCGGGCAGTGGTGGCACACACCTTTAATCCCAGCACTCGGGAGGCAGAGCCAGGTGGATCTCTGTGAGTTCGAGGCCAGCCTGGGCTACCAAGTGAGTTCCAGGACAGGCACCAAAGCTACACAGAGAAACCCTGTCTCAAAAAAAAAAAAAAATTTCAAGTGAAAATTCTAGTTTTAAGTAACTTTTCTCTGACACCAGGACTTCATAGCTTCCCCAGATTAAAACATAGTTGTAGACTCTCTGATGAAATGAATCAAGATATTAAAGAATGTGATATTTTGATATAGTAAATTTATTGAAATGTGTCAACATTTGGAACATCTGTGTGGGTCAGTGAATCAATATTTTCTAAATGACCAATGAATGATATAACAAAACTATATGTGAGTAAATGATTACCCCAATGAAGGATAAGAAGTTCAAGGTGGACATGGCGGCACACACCTTTGATCCTAGGCAGAGTAAGGTGACTGTTCCAGGCCAGTCCAGTCTACATAGCAAGTTCCAGATTAGTCAGGACAGGACTACATAGAGAGACTCTGTCTAAAAAAAAAAGTTCAAGGTCATCCCCAGCAATTCAAGACCAGCCAGCCCTGGGGTACATGAAACCCTGTCAATCCCCTCCCAGAAAAAAATTTAACAAATGCAATAATTGCTATGCTTCACTAATTTGAGGGAGGGGGGTATACTTTATTATTCAAAATGTTATTTATATTAACATGATGGTGTATAATAGGTGTGTGCGCATGTGTGTATATGTGTGTATGTATGTGTGTGTATGTTTGTGTGTATGTGTGTGTATATGTGCATATGTGTGTATGTGTGTGTATGTATGTGTGTATGTGTGTGTATGTGTGTATGTATGTGTGTATATGTGTGTATGTACGTGTGTATGTTTGTGTGTATGTGTGTATATGTGCATATGTGTGTATGTATGTGTGTGTGTGTGTGCGTGCATGCGTGTGTGCGGACGCGCACTCGCATGTGTGTTGTTTGAGACAAGGTCTAATGTAGTCAGGCTGGCCTTGAACTGGATATGTAGCAGAGGATGGCCTAGAACTTCTGCCCCTCCCTCACCACCTGAGTGCTGGGATTACTGGTGTGAGCCACACTGACCAGTTCATGCTGTGTTAGGGATGAACCCAGGGTTGGAGCATGCTAGGCAAACTACACCAGCTAAGCTCCATCTCCAGCCTTTACTTTTGTGGTTTTTAATGAACTCATAACTATTTTTTACATTATCTGGGCTTGCATCCTAATGCAGCAAGTGTTGATTCTGATAACACCTTCAACAAAAGCTATTGGGGGATCTTCAATGATTTCTAAGCTTATAGTTCTAACAGCAAAAACATTTGCGGCATTCTGCACCAGGCCGTTCATTTCTCTAAATCCACACCATATTAGCTGGTGTATTTGAGCGCCTGGAAGCTACGTAAAATCCGCACTGCGAATATTTACTACTTACTCCAAGCCTGGTACTGTTCGAGGGGCTGCGGACTCACTAAGGACAAGAGTCTTTGCTCTGGAGGACTCATGAGACAAACAGGCACAAGAATTTGTAGCAAACTAGGCTGAGAACCAAGCTTTACACTGGAAAACAAGGGCCTCCTAGATGGAAGGGGCCAGGAGGGGCAGCGGCCAGGGAAGGGCTTCCCAGAAGAGCTGACACCTGATCTGAGCCTTAAAGGCCACTGGCAATCAATTTAGGGAAGGGTGTTTTAGAGAGAGGGAACAGCATGCGTAAAATGTGGACGCTGTTAAGAAAGGTCTGGCTATTTCCAGCCCCTGTCCACGGCTCAACATGAATGTGAGGTGAAGCGCCAATCTGAGGGCTGGAATGAGGCTGGAAACTGAAGATGAGGCTAGCCAGGCAGGCAGAGGCCCAAAGAGCACTTCTACCATATTAAGAAATGTGAGTGGGTTTTGTTTTTTTCTTTTTCTTTTTAATACTGAAGGCGCAAAAGGAATAGGGAGGGGGCACTGGAGGATTTTTCTATTCCACTAACTTAAAAAAAAATATTTGGCAGCAAAAGCCAGGGGTAGTTAAATAAATGAAGGAACTAGAGAACCAGGAACAAGAAAGGCCACAACCGACCCAGAAAACACCAGGCACTGTTCAAGAAAGCAAGCTCAGAGCGAGAAGGAGCAAGAAGACTCTCCAGGATTCTGGGCGTATGAAGAGTGAAAGACAAGGACGGGAAGAAAGCTAAACCCTAGGGGTCTAGCATAGGCTTATCGGATGGACGGGAGATCTCTTTGTCTTTCACAGAATTTAGGGAACACACCGCAGTGGGCTGGAGTCAACGCCAAGGTCAGTCCTGTGTGCTCTAGCTGGTGTGAGTCTAGTTAGACAGCGAAGCAGATG